ATGGAACATTGTTACGAAACCTTTTTTTTTTTTAGAAATTAAATTTCAATATTTTGTGAATTTAAATAGTCCATTCACAGGCGTTGAAGCGGGCAGTGGACTATTTTCTACTCCAAAACCCTATCCAAATTCGGAAGCTTCGTATGCCAAAACAATATGAGGTCTATCGGTTGATTTTTTACTTTTCTTATTATTTTTAATTTTTTTTGAATTCTAAACTTTTAATTTAATATATTTTTGAAGAAATAGAAACATAAAAAGAATATTTTTATATTTTATAAATTATAAATAATACTTATTGAAAGAAAGTCATTCTTATGTTTTAACTTACCATTGAAAGTGAAAATACCTATGTCCGGGGAAGAATCAGCAAGAAATCCAGTGGGACATTTAAACAAATGGTAAAATCAAAAATTTTGTACAACCGACTTCATTATAAATGTTTTCGAAGTCTATTGAATCAAAATAATCCCATCACAGTGCAGACTTATTTCAGCTTTAGAATGTTTATTACATAAGATACTTTATCACATAAGATTTATAAAAATAAACATAAACACTCACGCCTGTCATACAGAGGGGTAGGCAGAGACTACGGACTAAAGATCCTGACACACCTGACACACTCCGCATACCTGCTCGTCGTTAAGAGTACTCTTAATCTAAGCCATCTTAAATATATCGCCAATTAGTTCGATAATTTTTCGTCTAGGGTGTCCCTTGCGACTCTGCCATTCACTTCTGCAACAAAATTTTGCTTTCTCACACTTTTCTAATAGACCAAAACACCGAAGCATTACTTTCTTAATCCTAGTCACAAAAATTTCTGAAATATAAAATTAAATGAAAAAACATTCGTATAAATTAGTTTTAGTTTAAATGAAAGGTACGTATAAGGTCAGCCGAAGCATCACATACGTCGAATCAGTGTTACTATTTGAGTTGTATATTCAAAGATCACAACAGTTATGTTAAACACGCTTACGTGTATTTACTTCGAAACTTTAAGCTTGGAAAGTTAACGTCAGCTGGGAATTGAATACGGTATATTTGCATAACTCCTAAGAAAAGAACACGTTTACTACGACGTAAGAAACCGGTAATGGCGAAGAATTTCTTCATTACTTTTTATTTATTTGTGAGAAGTTAAAGTAAACAGTTATTAACAGCCTATAATATCTCATTGGGCCGCCCTTCACTTTGCTTATGATGCAGGTCTCCTTACAATGTTTTCTCTACCGCAAGGATTGAAGTAAACAGCACCTAAAATTGCAATTAACAATTATATTGATGCCGGTGGGGATTGAATCCCGACTGCTAGCGTACTGTGAAATTGGTGGCAAGCGTTGAATTACCGCGGCCACTGCACATTATGCGTAATTTTTAATTATTTATCATTTTTGATGATCGGATTTTTTAATTTATTAGATTAGATTAATATATTATAAAGATAGTACCTATATAAGATGCAGAGTGATAGAATCCATCACCCCACGTTATCGTAACGGAGAGGTGGCAGGAGAAAACTTAAACGGGAGAAGGCTGCAGCATCTTCTAGTCAAGAACCAAATAATTATAATAAAAAAAAAACTACGGATGCCGACACGCTAAAGAAGCGTAACTACCATGGCAAATATCTTCTTTTGAATATGGAATAATAATACTTTTTTATATTTTGAATCATACCTTTGTTCAACAGTGGACTTACGGTCAACTGCAACGATGTAGCTATTATATCCATGGATACCTGCAACCAAAAGTAAAGCTAGTAAACTGTGCTACAGGCTTTATTTTTCTTAAAAACGGAACTCAGTGTTTGGTTCTCTGCATTCACGACACTAATAAAAGGTGCAATTGTTTTAAAAAAAATAATTTGGAAAGCATATTTTAACATTACCAAAACTCTCATTTACCATTCCACGTAAGCTTAAAATGCTTGTGTTAGAAGTATCTTACGACAGTAGTCGAGTGGCGGATTTAAACTATAAGGCTACTGGCGCCTAAAATTGATGAATTGATACTTAGCGATCAGCCACCGCAGAGTCTACATAACCTGAGGATGCCTCGTGTAGAGGCGAAAGACGTGTCGTATTATCGACGATGGTGTCTTTCCTAGTGTAGTGGTGGTGCAAGTAGCAGTGCTGTAATTAGTGGTGACGGGATTAGTGCACGCAATTGAGGGAGGACGGGAAGTGCTCTTCAAACTAGGTAAGACACATCATTTATTTTTATAGATCAGATGTGTGCGATTACCTCCACTTCTTATAATATTTAATAGAATTCATAGTAAGAGAATGGTATAAAGTATAAATCTAGACTTCGTCAATAACAGAATGAGAACCGTGTCGAGTAAAGGTTAATACGAGGATTATCAAAATAACTTAAAAGACTTGTTTTCTGCCTGGCTGGGCGTGGTACAGCCATTCCGCAGCTATATTAGTTACATAGTTGTAGCAAGAATGAGGCGGCTCGACCGGGGAAGGATCACGCTCTTACCAGAATACTAGCGTAAAATAGTAGCCTAATGCTGTTGTATTGCGTATGGTGAGCGTAGAGAACTTGGGACTCTTTTTACTAGAAAAGAGGCATTCTATCGGAGTCCTCACGCCTGAAAACACATTTGCATTTTGATTTGTAATCGAAGACAGATGTAGATGTCTATGGGCCACAGCATCAACTAACCATCAGATGAACTGTGTACTCGCTCGTTACCCTTATCCTATAAAAAAGCCGTCTTAGTAAGTCTTTCTTCTCCCCCTACCTATTTCTGGCATCAGCAGTGCATGGTCTGTTATGTTCCGGTCTTAAGTGTATAGAGAAGCTTGCATAATTTGGACTGAGAGTCATTTCATGTTAGTCCTCAGATGTGACAACGGATGTGTGATTTTCTTTGATTGAAGTTGGTTGCAAAGTGTCCATGGGCTACAGTAGCCAACTACTACGACTGTCAACGACTACACAGCCAGAATAGACGCCTCATGCAGGGCAAACACTTTCTGTCAACACATTAGACAATTACGTCTTAGTATTTGAGTTATACAACACTAGAGGAGCAAACCACATTACCGCGCCTCGAAAAAAGTGTAACCACCATCCAAACGCGACGACATAGCTTTGAAACTAATAACAATTTTAAAGAAACATATATCTATCTCACTTACACAAGTTGCGAAAACAATATCGTCGCTAAGATTAGATAAAGATAGACACACAAACTTGCAAATTTCATATAGTAAGCCACACCAACCCGCCATGGGTTCGTGTGGCTTGGCAATGGCTACAATATGAAATTTTACCTAAAATACGCAATAAAAATGAGTTTTTTAAGCTGCCGTTAATTTTTTATATTAAAAAGTATATTTTATTTTAAAATCTTTATTGCGTCCCCTTAGAAAAAAAGGATACAGAGCTTATCAGATGAATAGAAGTAAACGTAATGATGAAATAAAACATATTTTTATAAGTATTTTTATTGTACTTATAAATCAAACAATATAAAATAGGTAATAAAATATATTTAATAGATAATTCGTGATTCAACTAAAATAATAATAATCAATTATTTTGTATGAAATTTAAAACGTAGTTTTTATTATAACTTCCAAAATATTTAAAATCAGAGGTAACAAACTTACTCCATTAATTATATAGTCTCCCATTAATGTAGGACAATCACAAATGCGGAAAAGTCGCAACATTGAACCTAAATGGCAATATTCGATAATTTTATTTAATTATTTGAGTAATTCTCAAATAAATTGTAAATTCGAGAAAAAAGCTTGTCGCAGTTTTCATATTTAAAAAATAAATATATTTTCTTGTTTATTTTTAAAATGTTATATTTAATCTATCAGAAGATATTCTTATTATTTCAGAATAGATAGTGCATTAGCTCTATTGTATATAATAAACGCCCAGTGTTATGTTTAATAAAACCTTGATTTCGTTGTCAATACAAAAAATAATCATGTCACTCTATGCCTTTAATAGGTTCCGACTTGATTTATAGTTTTTTTTTTTGTAGATATGGATTTATTTACACATTTTTAACTGAACGGATTCATGTTCTATTTTATTATCTTTACTAATAGGGACTATATCTCCTAAATTTCTAATACAAATTAATAGTTATTTACTTGTCACAAGTTTCTTACAATTTAGTAACAAACATTTTCGTAACGTTATTTTACAATGATTTCTCAAGATTATTGAAAGCAACTTATGCCATTCAGTTAGCAGCATTGACTCGATTCTGATTGGTGGATAACGAAACTGTCATGGCGTATTTAGACGCGAGTGACCGCCTTGATGTGTGAAAGTCGCAGCTTAAAACTTCAGTTACAATTTCGTTATTCTGACAAGGAAACTTAATTTTTTGCCGGTAAGTTGTTTCAAAATGTATATTTCATTTAAATATGTCGTAGTTTTTACATTTATCTAGTGATTTATTCATGTTTTCGTGCTACAGATTATTTTGTTGTCATGAAAAACATTTTTGAAGTTAGTTTTTGCGTACAACTTAGTTACATTTCGTTACGTAACGAAATTGTTTTCTATAAAGCTACATGCACATTAGAATAACGATAGTAAAATGTTTTTGGCTTGTGTTTGTCTCCGATTTCCTCACTAACTATAAATTGTTGTACACATAAAGATTATAGTAAAAAAAAAATGTGTTTGCCTCATTTATCACCCACGGTGGCTTATTACTTTACATTATAATAGATGGTATAATAATTAATATCTGGACGTCTTTTAAAGTTTACTTTTGTTGCAGACATGCCACTTACCAACTCCGAAAGGTAAAAGCGTTACAGGGACCGCTTGAAAACCCAAAATCCGGAGAGACATGAAGAACTTAGGATTAAACATCTTGAAAACGTGAAAAAAAAATACAAAAAAATTGCAGAATTAACAGAAGAAGATCGAAACCTTCGGCGCAAAAATGGAAAGAGGCAAACGATAGAAGAGCAAAGCAAAACAATAGAAGAGAATCCAAAATGTCTGCCAATGTCGCGTATGTAGCTCAATTTATTTCTGGAAACGTTACTAAAAAGCAGACAAAAGATAAAATACAAGAACTAAAAGCAGAAAATGAAGAGTTAAAAAGAAAAAATAAAAATTTTAAGAGAAAGCTGTACCGTTACAAAGCCGAAATAGCAGATCTGAAACAACAAATAGTATCCCAGCCGCATCTAGTACAGACAACTACAACAGTTGATAAACCTGAGGTTGTCACTCCAATGACGAAAACGAATAAGTTTTTAGATGAAGTACCATCAATCTCTAAAGAAGAAAAAGAGAAAGTCAAAAAGAAACTCCTAGTACTGAACACATTGAAAGACTCATTAAAAGAACAATACAAAAAAGCTGATACAGGAGAAAAGAAACACATCGATTTTGATACAAACATGTACACAATATTTTTTTATAAAACTGTCAGCAGGAAAGAAAATTTGAAATTTATTGTTCTGAAACGTACGGATAGAGACATTGTTCCTAATGTTTCAATTGTTAAAAAAATACAGCTTCAAAAATAGGAAAAACCCAACGAATTTAAATTAATGAATATGGAAGAATATACATATTTTGATTAAATCGACAAAAAGTAATTTAGATTTAATTTTGGTTATTTTCATTTTGAACTTGAACTGAGTTAAGATTTATAATGTTTTAAGAACGTGTGATTGTATTTTATATTCAATTAAAAGAGGTGCCTGATTACACCAATGTATTTTAATAATAAATGATGGTAAGTCAATAACTGTGCTGAAGTTTTTTTTCATACAATCGGCAAGCCGTTTTCAAGTGATAAAACTATATATATATATATATATATATATATATATATATATATATATATATATATATATATATATATATATATATATATATGTATACATGTATATATAGTCTTTTATGATAAGTGGCCACTGCAGTCCTTAGAGACTTGTAGCCAGCTTCAACCCATGAAGGCTAGATATGTGTTTTTTTGTATATATATAATTGGAGTGCCAAACGAGTACACAGTACACCTATTGGTACATTTATCCTCGATTGAGAATCATATAGCAAATGTGTTGTCACCCTTAAGAAATAAGATGGAATGCCTCGTTTCCGGTAAAAACGGTCTCCGGTTCTCTACAATCACCATACTAAACACAGCAGCATTAAGCTACTATTTTACGCTGGTATTCTGTGAGGGCGTGGTCCTTTCCCGGTCGAGACGACTCACTCGTCCACCACGTATGAATATAAATATGTGTTGTCAGCTTTAAGAATTAAGATGAAATATTTCACAGCCTGTAAGTATTCTGGTTTCCCTTCATATCGAAATACAGCAGAGTAAGAACTGCTGCTTGGCTGAATATACAACATGTAACAAAAACCACGTGGGGTCAGATAGAGAAGGGGTGGTACTAACCCAGTCGGGCTCCCAGACTGATAGATAGATTAACGACACCAAGAGATAAAGTGTTATGTATTCTCAACACATTGAATGCCTACTACGAATGTATCCGTATAACATGGTTTCTGTACTCGATGCCGACATCTCATCATATATATATATATATATATATATATATATATATATATATATATATTATGTGTTGAAAGTGATTCCGCTTGATTTATTATGTTTTTGTGACCTTGAATAGCATTCTTTCACTACGCATTTACCCATTTTTTGTCGCGGCTCATCTCTGTCGGCGTCACATTAACACTGAACTGACGTTAGCTAGGCATATGGCTGTGGCCGTATTTGTAGTGGCAACCCTATGGCGCGGTTATTACTGATCTAGTGTAATATATAAATCAATGGTCTTAGTTAAGAAAACAATCGCACGATCTACTTTAGTAGCGACCACTTCTATGACCCGTGAACATCTTGCATGTGACTCGTGAATTTCCGACAAAATAAAATACAACAGACGCGCAATATGGTTCTCCGTACAGTAAAATAGTGCAGAAATAGTAGCCAAATGTGTAATTTCAAAAAAGTAGCATCACTTTTCAGAGATAAGTGTATTTAATTTCAAAATTCATTAATTAAAATTAAATCAGAGCTCAACCCATATTTATCACAAGCAACTAGCGTTGATTTATTCGGACATCTTAGGATTGTTTCGGACTATGCATCCCTTTCTTTTCAATGCAGTTCATTGTTGCTATACTTTTCTTTAATAAACGGCACGTGTAGCTAGTGCTGTACCAGTTAAACTATAATATTAGTACAAGTAAATACTATGCATGTTATCGTGAATGTTTTACACTTTTACAGACTTATACAGTGGCAGTTCATCTTGGTCCTCAGGGGTGACAACGCATCTGCATTTTGATTCTTAATCGAGGATAGATTATGTCTATTGGTTACAATATAATTTACAATCAGGTGATGACTATGTGCTCTTTTGTCACTTGTAACCTACTATAAATGAATTTTAAATAAAATACATATATTAAGGGTTCCCCCAATCTTACAAGGAACGCATATAATTTATCATCATCTATTCTTATACGCCACAAGTTCTTGTAAAAATTTCACGTTTGTACTGTTTGAACATAGCGTCACACCTGTTATTCCCGAGAGAGTAGTCAGAGTCCAACGAGCGAGCTTCTTGTATCACGTTTAGCCAAAGTTGTAGCTTAATATAGAAAATTGTAAAAGAAATGATAAACGGCTAGCTCAACGCCTACACAGTTACTAACACAATACTCCGTTAGTCGCTTTTTACGCTATTCTAGGCATTAAACACAGATGGCACATTCGTTTTTGTTATGTGCAACATAAATACGGATCCTATAAGTACCAGGCAAGTATGAGACTACTTACGAATTAAATTAATGTTTAGGAGTATATTCTTAGATACAGGTCGTATTACTAAATATACATAGAAACAGAAACACAAACAGAAAGTTTTTTATTCAATATAGGTTGTAAACAATACCTTATAACGCGTGTCCTACGGATCCACAGACGGTGATATTAGTTAAACATTCCTCGCTTAATTTCTTTACGAATCAATTGTTTTATTTATTCGTTAAATTATTACAGCGTATCAAAAGTGCACAGCAGTACATAAGCCTGCGCCATAGATTCTCCCATAGGGAGAAATTACCATAGTTGTCATTCTTGGCACGAGGGTTAGCAGGCGCAGTTTTTTATTTAAAGTTAAAAAGTTAATCTTACAGCATATATATATATATATATATATATATATATATATATATATATATATATATATATACGACTCACAGGCCTCCTCTCATATTTGAGAGGGTTTTTGGGGGGTAAAATGTCGCGCTGTCCCAATGCGTGTTGGCAAAGTTAACGTCTTAGAAAAAAATTGTTATTATTTCTCGGACGTGCAGATTTCCTCACGACGTGCTGTTTCCTTAACCGCTGAGCTCATGGTAAATCAGCACTTAGAATTTCAATTAACAATTTCATTGGTGCCGGCATGTATCGAACCGGGTTTGCTTGAGTACTGTGAAATTTACAGCGAACGCTTAACCCCTGAACTACCAAGGCTACAGTTTTTATTTATATTTTGGTAACTATCAGAAGATGTTGCTCTCCACGTTCTGCTTCAGTTCCCATCTGCCGCCTCTCACGACACCCACGGCACGATATGTGGCAGTGGATATTCTCACACCGCCACTACACGGTTAATATTTTTATTGTTGTCATCAGAAACATGCTGTCCGTGTTCTGCTTCAGTCTCCCTCTGCCGCCTCTCACGACACCCACGGCACGATATGGGGCAGTGGATATTCTCACACCGCCACTACACGGTTAGTATTTTTATTGTTGTCATCAGGAACATGCTGTCCGTGTTCTGCTTCAGTCTCCCTCTGCCGCCTCTAACGACACCCACTGCACGATATGGGGCAGTGGATATTCTTACACCGCCACTACACGGTTAATATTTTTATTGTTGTCATCAGGAACATGCTGTCCGTGTTCTGCTTCAGTCTCCCTCTGCCGCCTCTCACGACACCCACGGCACGATATGGGGCAGTGGATATTCTCACACCGCCACTACACGGTTAGTATTTTTATTGTTGTCATCAGGAACATGCTGTCCGTGTTCTGCTTCAGTCTCCCTCTGCCGCCTCTCACGACACCCACGGCACGATATGGGGCAGTGGATATTCTCACACCGCCACTACACGGTTAATATTTTTATTGTTGTCATCAGGAACATGCTGTCCGTGTTCTGCGTCTCCCTCTGCCGCCTCTCACGACACCCACGGCACGATATGGGGCAGTGGATATTCTCACACCGCCACTACACGGTTAGTATTTTTATTGTTGTCATCAGGAACATGCTGTCCGTGTTCTGCTTCAGTCTCCCTCTGCCGCCTCTCACGACACCCACGGCACGATATGGGGCAGTGGATATTCTTACACCACCACTACACGGTTAGTGTTTTTATTGTCATTAAATAAACGTGATTTTTTTTTAAATTTTAGAATCTAAATCCGAAGTCTGACGTACTGGGCCAGTGTTTGTTGGTGGACTTTACATTTATTCGATAAAAATTGCAATTAACAAATTAATTATCGGCGTGAATCGAATCCAGATTGCTCGGGAGACTAACGGCAAGCGCTTTCTCCCAGAGTTTTCATTGTAATAAAAAGTATGAAGTAGTACATTTTGTCTTCATTAGTACAATAGCAAATATAAACAGTCCTTCACAAGTATACTGCAGAACATAGGCCTTGCCCAAGGTATGCCACAAAGTACAGTCTTGAACGACCTGTGTTCATCGACTTCCCGTATATCTTACCAGGTCTTCACTCCATCTAGCAGGCTTCCGCCAAAACTAATGCAAACATGTAAATGGCGTTGATGAAAACCACTGAGGTTTATCGAGAGTGCTTAGTCTTGATCAAACAGATATATGTTATATCCGCGTAATAAAATAAACTAATTTGTGTTATCTAGTTTCGAGGGTACCTCCCGCCCTCCCTGAATTGCGTGCACTATCCCCGTCACCAATAATCCCAGCACCACTACTCTCAACACCACTGCATTTGGAAAAACGCATCACCATCGATAATACACGTATTTTACTCCTCGTGTGAAGTAAACTAAGCAGTCAGCCACCGCAAATTCAAAGGTAATTATCACATCAACCAAAGAATTACATAAATGTAATTCTTTGGTTGCCAAATATAATTCTATGGTTATAAAGTCCCAGAAAATATACAAGGTCTCTTTATTAAGAATTTTGAATATGTTATTATATAATAACTGTTGATAATAACCCCTGGAAATGAGGTAGCCGCTTTCAAGCTGTTTTAAAAATAAATGTTTTAAATAGTTTGTACAACCTTTCATATTGTATACTTTACTTTAAAAATAAGTCCGTCTGGGTTTTTTGCTGGTTCTTCTCAGGGCAGAGGTATTTTCCAAAGTGGTAAAGGTTAAAAATGACTTTCAGTAAGAATTACATGTAATCTATATTGTATATCGTACTGTGTCCACCATTCTGTGGCAACAAATTGCGTAAAACAATGAATTTCGAAAAC